TAGCTGCTAATAGTTTGTAGCTAATATTAGCTGTTATTAGCTAATTTGACCTAACCAGTGAAATAGTTGTTAGGTAGGTATTCGGCTAACAATTAGCTAAACTATTATAGCTTGATCAGATCCAGGGAGATAATTAGCAGCTAACTATTAGCTCTATGGATCCAAACATGATCTATATATATAAACAAAAGGTAGAGACCATATGTATCAACCAAGTGAACACAATGAGTCTCATCTAAAACTTGCAAGTACCCGTTTGAGGAACAACCAAAGCTGATGGCTCATCAAAATGCTGATGGCACTACCTTGAGAGCCTATCGCTATGTCGTTGTGTCGTCTAGTGCCTGTTTAGATGGACTAGGACTAACAACTAGTCGTATTAGCTCCTATAAATGGACTAATGAACTAACAACTAGTTCATGAATAGTGGACTAACAATTAGTCTGTATGTTTGGATGCTTAGGGATTAAAAACTAGTCAACTAGTTGTTAGTTTTATGGATCCAAACATGCCCTTACAAGTGCAGTCATCTCCCTTATATGGAGAGACTATGTTACTACATGAGTCCAACACTTAGCGCGCGTTTAGTTCCAAAAACTTTTCCCAAAAAGTGCTACAGTAGTCATCACATCGAATCTTGCGATATGTGCATGGAACATTAAATGTAGACGAAAAAAAAATTAATTGCACAGTTTGGTTGGAAATCACGAGATGAACGTTTTGAGCTTAATTCGTCCATGATTGAACACTAATTGCCAAATAAAAACGAAAGTGCTACAATAACCAAATTCCAACTTTCCCCCAAACTAAACACGGGCTTAGCTCTACTTAACCCTCAACTGCTAATTACTACAACATATGTCTAATATAATTCCTTAAGTATAAATTATACACAATAATGTCTACCTTGGTGAATATTTGGCCACATTGAAGAATGTTATCCGCAAACCTTTATGTACTCTGGACTTGAGTTCTTGTCTTTGCCTTCATAAAGACCAGCCCAATGAATTTGACTTGGCCTCAATCAGATCACCTTGAGAGACCTCTGTTCTCGCAACTCCAATTCATCCCAGTGACTCCAACTTGAATAATATGCATCATTGCAACTTGTACATATGCAATGCCATCTCTCTACTATCTAAAAGAGATTAGTGTCATTGTCTGACTCACTGATGTTGCAATATTAGCACTTGCCTTCTTCCTCCTTGATATGCATAATGGAACATGCCCACTTACAACCAAGGTTCACTTTATCGATAGAAAAATATACAGGAGGCCACTGATAAATGGATTTCAGAAAAATTATTGGTCAAAACAAACACAAAGGGCTAAGTTTCTCAAGAAGTCAAAGCATTTTACACCAAGAACGAACTAGCCCAATTACATGTTTTATCGGAATTTTATTGCCAACAAACTTTTCCCTGGTCCCGACTGCAATAGATACGTGAAATACCACTACGGTTTTCTGAAGAAACATGGGTAATTTAACTTACACAGAGGCCTCTTTTGAAATTTTCTTTTCAGCTTGGACGACGACCTTATCTGTTCAGCCAATTTGGACTGTGTGAAACGGAACAAGGAATCCTTGCAAGCAAAACAGTAATGCTGGATGGTGATTGGTCCAGGTCAATTAGAACGATAGTGTGGTTCTTGGATGCATCCATAGCAAAAGAACATTGACCAAAGACTAGAAGCTAGGCGGGCAATGAATTGGGAAACACAGTTTTATGCGTACTCTCACCATGTTTTTTACTCTTTCCAGCTTCCGGGCTGGGCTTGATGAGCTGACCTGTTTTGGTCTCTTGGTCTTGGGATGTGTGACTGTGAGTGTGATTCCTCCTCTATTTATACCATCCAGTTTATTGTCTTGGTGGTATAGCCACTTCTCCTACTCATGGCCAGAGCAATAAACCTGATCTCCTTGTTGCTGTGCTTCTGTTCCCATGCGCTGCTGTCCCTGGGGAGCAAGAACAACAGCTCCACCTCCACAGACGAGCTTGCTCTCCTCTCCTTCAAGTCCATGGCGTCTTCAGGCCAGTCCAGCTTGCTGGCTTCTTGGAACACGTCCAGCCACTACTGCAACTGGCCAGGAGTGGCCTGCGGCAGCCGGCACCCCAGCAGGGTGGTTGCCCTGCGACTGGCCTCCTCCAACCTCATCGGACGAATCAGCCCCTTGTTGGGCAACCTGTCCTTCCTCCGGGAGCTGGTCCTCGACGACAACGAGCTCACCGGGCAGATACCGCCGGAGCTCGGCCATCTTGGAAGGCTTCAGGTGCTGAACATGAGCAAGAATCTTCTGGAAGGAAGCGTTCCCAGGACCCTGGGAGGATGCAGAGAGCTCAAGAGGCTTGATCTACATGACAACCATCTCCAAGGTGAGATCCCACACGAGATAGGCGCCTTGCAAAACCTGGTCTCCTTGAGTCTGAGCAAGAACGGCTTGGCAGGAGAGATACCTCCATCTCTAGCAGGATTGACATCCGTCAGAAATTTATCTCTGTACGCAAACAGATTATCGGGTGACGTACCGCCTTTTCTCGGCAATCTCACCAGCCTACAGATCCTTGAGCTCCATGAAAACATGCTGTCAGGTACTATCCCTTCGTCCCTGGGCATGCTGCCCAGTTTGTTTGGGCTCAGCTTAGGCTTCAACAATTTGAGTGGCCTCATCCCAGATTCCATCTGGAATATTTCCTCGCTTGTTCGGCTCTCTGTCAGTCATAACATGCTGAGTGGAGCAATTCCTCGAGATGCGTTCAACAACGTTCCCCGTCTGCAGGAGTTATTCATGGATTTCAACCAGTTCGATGGCCCGATCCCGGCCTCGATATCTAACGCTTCTGACATGGTGATGCTTCAGCTCATCAACAATTCTTTCGGTGGAGTTCTTCCGACAGCGCTGGGAAGACTAGGAAACCTCAGTTTCCTGCAGCTCAGTGTGTTTTTTTTTAAGCCAAAAAACCAAGAGACTGGGAATTCATAACTGCTCTAACGAATTGCTCTCAGTTGCAGGTAATGGAAATGTTCCTGAACAGTTTTGAGGGGGTGCTTCCTGCTTCAATTTCCAATCTTTCTGCTTCGATACAAATTCTTAACTTAGCAGCCAATGACATCTCGGGAAACATTCCTGATGACATCGGCAACCTCGTTGACCTGCAAACTCTGGCTCTCGCTGAGAACTACCTCACAGGATCTCTTCCCTCTTCCTTGTGCAGTCTTAGAAACTTGGTCAGGCTTCACCTAGTCGGGAATGGCATATCCGGGATAATCCCACTGGCCATAGGAAATATTTCAGAACTGTCTTTGCTGGACCTCAGTTTTAATGACATTAGCAGTACAATACCAAGCACGCTTGGAAACCTCACAAAGCTGTCGCAGCTGGGTCTTTCACAGAACTACTTGACTCGCCCAATTCCTAGAGAAATATTCAGCATCTCCACACTCTCCATTAGTTTGGATCTGTCTAACAACAACTTGGAGGGATCACTGACACAGGAAATTGGGAATCTAAAAAATCTCGTACGGTTCTATGCAGAATGGAACAGCTTATCAGGGGAATCCCAAGCACCATAGGTGAATGTCAACTTCTCCAGTATATCGTTCTTCAGAACAACACCTTGAATGGCAGTATTCCATCCTCCATGAGCCAGATGAGCGCTCTAGAATTTCTTGACCTCTCCAGGAACAATTTGTCAGGCCAGATACCCAAGTCCTGAGGGAGCCTTACCACGCTCCAACACCTCAACCTTTCATTCAACAACCTAGCTGGACAAGTGCCAGATTTTGGCGTTTTCGCAAACTTCACTGGAATCTCAATTCAAGGCAATCACAAACTTTGTGGTGGCATTTAAGGTCTGCATTTGAAACCATGTCCTGTTCCTGTACAATTATTGCCAAAGAAAAAACATAAATTCCTAGTGATTCCTATCGTTATCTCTGTATTAGTGACAGCACTAGTCATACTAGCGTTGCTCTGTATGTTACTTATTTGGCGCAAGAGAACAAAAAAAACTATTCCATCAGCAGAGTCCAAGCAAGGCCACCCGTTGATCTCTTATTCACAGCTGCTAAGAGCAACAAATGATTTCTCAGAGGCAACTTATTGGGCTCAGGATCATTTGGATCAGTCTACAAAGGAGAATTGAGTTTTCAAGACTGTGAAAGTGCAAATCTTGTTGCTGTGAAGGTACTGAAACTTGAAACTCCGAAGGCGCTCAAGACTTTCACTGCTGAATGTGAAGCGCTACGAAATATGCAACACCGGAATCTTGTCAAGATAATTACAGTTTGTTCTAGCATTGATGCCATGGGGAATGATTTCAAGGCAATTGTGTATGACTTCATGCCCAATGGCAGTCTAGAAAGTTGGCGCTACATCCAGACAGAAATGGTCTGGAAGAGCAAAGGTACTTGAACCTCTTGGAGAGAGTGACTATACTGCTAGATGTGGCTTATGCGTTGGATCACCTTCATTGCGATGGACCTGAACCTATTGTACACTGTGATCTGAAGTCAAGTAATGTGCTCTTGGATGTTGATATGGTAGCCCATGTTGGGGACTTTGGGCTTGCTAAGGTTCTTGTTCAGGGCAGCTCATTCTTGCAGCAGTCATCAAGCTCGGTCGGATTTAGAGGCACAATTGGATATGCTGCTCCAGGTTAGCCTAATACATTTTTTATTCTTTTTTTTGTTATATTCAGTTTCCTTCATTGGTGCCTAGATGTTTACAGATTGCAGTGAAAAATTATGGCGCTTTTCTAGGGAAAAATACTGCTTTTTTTATAAATTTAGAATTTTATGTGTTGCAAAGTCTAATATTTTCTAAAATACCCAATTAATGCAACAGAGTATGGTGCTGGAAACATGGTGTCGACACATGGAGACATTTACAGTTACGGAATTTTAGTACTGGAAACAATAACTGGAAATAGGCCTACTGAAAGTAGATACAGACAAGGACTGATGAGCCTCCGTGAACACGTTGATCTAGCCCGAGAACAATGGACGCCGTCGACGAACGCCTTTCTGCGGACCTTGAAAATGAGCTCCACGACATGCGTGATGATTGTTCATACAAGAGGAAGATGGATTATGCTGCTGCACTTCTGAGTCTTGGAGTGTCCTGCACTTTGGAACTGCCATCAAGCAGAATGCCGGCGGAAAGTGTCTTCAAAGAGCTACTTGCAATCAAAGATTCGCTCCTGAAAGAACACCGAACATGACAGGTGGATGATACTACGCCAATGCCAATATAGTTTCGTGTGCAAAAGGTGATTCCATGTAAAATATGAAGTATTTTCCATCTCAAGTGTCTGAAGAAGCTTATTCCGTTTTATACAAGGTATAGTAAGGTAGAGCGTGGAATGGTTTCTTTTTGGATCTTTTCAAAAGTTACCAATGCCGTAGCACTCTAAAATTTACACTTTTTGAATTGAGGTTAAGATGATTTAATTATGAATTTTTGTGCGCATGAAACATAGGAATAATAATATTTTTTATTAAATTAAAATCCATCATAGGATGTAGCAACATTGTTGTGCATACATGCTGGTGCATATGGCTTTTTGTGATGAGTGGTTTTGACCAAAGCACAAAATGATTCAAACTCCTTTTGAAAATGGTTTGGCGGCGGGTGGTCCTGCTCAGCGGCGGCTTTTCTGGCGTAAGAGGCTTTCTAACTAGCAGTTTGATGACCCATGCGACACTTCTACCTTTGATGAGGCAGCTAGGTTGAGGGAAACTGCAGTGTACGCACCTGGATCTCGGTGGACGGGATTGGCTTGGTGAACGCCAGAGGCAGCCGCTCACGTGTTGGTTTGACAGCTTGCAGCGGACTACGGCGGCTAGCCCTGCTTGGCGGTGGCTAGTCTGGCGTGGTACATCGTCTTGACTGGTGGCGCAAGCGGATATGATTGCGGGAGGGCTACACAGCTTGCAGCGACCTACGGCGGCTTGTCCTTCTTGGCAGCAGGCTAGCTCGGTGTGGATCATCGTTGGTTACTGCGGTGCGAGTGGTGACGATGGTGTTTTCGCCATGACGCCCTTGTCGTCCGGGTGTTGATGGTGCAGTGTGGTTGTTTGGAGTTTGGTGGTGGTTCTCTTTTTTCTGACTTGAGCTTCGGCTTTGTGCGATTCGTGTCGATGTCCCAATCCGACCGACTAGAGTTATTTTTTTTCCTTTGTTGAGTTTGTTTTTCGGCGTGGTTGTTGGTCTCTGTTGTATCATTGTGCCAACTTTGGGCTTATCTTCTTTTTAATATAATCCGCAGCTCTCCTACCTAATTCGTTAAAAAAAAGAAACTCCCCATTGTGAGCACGGCAGTGGCTCGGCCACGAGGATAGCCCGCCACCGGCAGGGACTCCGTTCAGCCTCCTCGAGGCGGTTGATGGTGGGAGGCGGTCTCAACTCGAGGCCATTGGGTCTCATGGGTTCTGGCGAAGGTGAGGGAGATGCTGGGAACACGGCAAGCACCTAAACTTCGAGCCGCCATATTTTGCCGTAAATTACTCAATACAACGGTTTCCAAAGACTACTTTGTTCCTAGTGGAGATGTTGACGGCGAAAAGCGACGAGCCGAGCCTCGCTGCCAACACGCAAGCAAGCTGGGAGAAACCGCGTGGAGCAGATCCTGAGCTCTCCCTGGGCTTAGGGAAACATAGGACCGGATGGTCGTGACATGAGGCGTGCCGGTCAATTTGACCCTATAATTGACAAGGAGAAAAGATTGATCAGTAATTTAATGTGGAACATGTTGGTGTTGCTCCAGATAGTTCCAAACGTGTGGCTAAGTAGCTGATGCGATAAGGCTATCGACTAAAGAGTCGATATCTAGCATGTTCATTGATGTAGACTAGGCCCGATCTTCCGAAAGGTATGATAGCGTCGATTGATGGAGACTCGACGTTCATGATCTAGGCTTCGAACCAAGACTGATTCGGACCCCCCAACCATTACACCACTGCTCCATTGGTTATCAACCACGCGAACGCGATTGACCTCGCCGAGAAGGCTTTCCTGCAAGCGAATCGAGAACACAAGCAAGAACGGGATAAACGCAATCTGAAATTGCAAATAGATATGAGGCTTATGAAAACAAGAAGGAGTTCAAGTCTTTATTCGAAAGGACTAATCGCCACAGGCGAACAAGATCAAGAACTGGGGCCCTGGTTCACAGCAAGCGGCCTTGGCGGCGGCGATTGCAAAGAAACGACGTCATTTCACGAGGAAATCAAGAACTAAACAAAACCCAAACCCTAAGGAGAGCGACGGCTGATAAATATAGAGTCTTGGGCGTCACCCCCCTTGGACGCGCCCCCTAAGGGGCCCAAACACGATACACGGTCCAACGGACCAAATTACGGTATCGCAGCACCCTGACAGATTTTGGGCGCTGAATTGTGACCACGATTCCCGATGATTCCGAATAGATTTTGACGTGAGACCACTTGGATTGTCTTCCTTATCAAATTAGCTTTCCATCCATATGTGGATCGTCGAAAACGGAATCCGGATGCATCCTGGGTGACCAGTTTAAGGCAGACTGATCCTGGAGGCCGAGATGGACTCGAACTTGATTTGGGCCTCCACCTTGGTTACTCGAACCGGATGAGCTTCGGGCCTCCTTCTCGCTTAGGACACCCTCGCTGATCTCCTTGGTCTCCATATGGTTCTCCAAGCATGGTCATATGTATGGAGGTCATGTCCTCATCATCCTCCCTTTCTTGACGAAAAGCCGTCCTCGGTGTCAATTTTGTTTGAAGTCGATCCTGCACTCCTTCTCGCTTAGGACACCCTCGCTAATCTCCTTGGTCTCCATATGGTTCTCCAAGCGTGGTCATATGTATGGAGGTCATGTCCTCATCATCCTCCCTTTCTTGACGAAAAGCCGTCCTCGGTGTCGATTTTGTTTGAAGTCGATCCTGCACAACATGAGGACAAACGAGGTTTCCAAAATAATGGGAATGGACAATGTTATGAGATAGAATATAACCACATGTCTAGGTTTGTAGCATGTCTTGTCCTCTGAGACATGTAGTACGCTTTCGATTGAAATACACACGATCTTTGCCAATACTATCCTGCAAAAGATTAGTACTAACAAAAAACATATGCTCTCTTTCTTTGGATTCCCCTTGTGTCCGAAAAGCAAAACTAGAGGAATATGGCATAACAAAAGTGTTGATTTTACTGTCCTCTAGTTGATCATTACTTTGCACAACAAAAGGAAAATTCAGATTTGTACGAATATAAACTCGTTGTATCAAATATTGCCCTTGGTTGTCATATTTACCAAAAACAAAATATGTATGTCTAGAGAACCATGGCAAATCAGCATATGCATAAAGTTTCTCCTCAAAAAAGCTAAGATTACACGGAACATCAAATTCAATGTAACCTAAAGTATTTAAAGAAGACAACAATTTCAGCTCATCAACTTCACTAGCATTATGAATAACAAGTCTATTTTCAGCATAAGTGCTCAATTTCAGCACACATATAGTGTGATCATTCTTCAATGATTGCATGGGTATAACATAAATATCAGCATACAAGTCATCTTCGTCACAAGAAACATCAAGCAAATTATCTTGTGACAAAGGTAAATCAAGCGAAGGCTCCACTAAAATTTGCTCTATCATAGCATGATTGGTGAAAAAATTTAGCACATCAAGGGAACTCTCACCTTCTGTGAGTTTAGCATCGTGGGCATTTCCTTTGCTCTCATGTTCAGCAGGAGTAATAGTTGATAGTTCTGAATTTTCACATGAGGCTGTGAGCATCTCCTTTTCTATCACGTCATCCTCACTCTTTTGTACATTGTCCTACAAAAGGTTAGGCATAGCAGGAGGAATAACAAGAAATTGATCTAGTTGATGCACCTCATCATTTAAATTAATTACAAGAGATGTATTAACAAATTTTTCTCTCATAAGATGTTTCATATCATTCCAAGTTTGAGGTTTATCAAAAGGATCTAAGGACTCCCACCAAGATAAAGCAGAATGTCGTAAAACACTAGCTGCATTTTTTACCTTCCTCCTTGGACACATAAAGTGAGTAGCAAATATGTTATCGATGACAATTTCCCACTCCATGTACTCATCAGCACCTATACCATCATAAGTTGGTGGATACGAATAATCTATCATTGTTAGAAGACAGCAAAAGACAACACAAAAGTATTATCTCTATCAACTACGTAGGTTGTGGACAAGGAAAAACAAGGCACTCAACTCTCAAGCGTCTTACCACGGTCTTACAAGTGTTCTTACCAAAGCAACAGGCGGTGCAATCGGTCGGTGACTGTGATACCGTTGTAGCTCGAGTGTAATAGTTGCAAGGCGAACCTGTACTTGGTTAGAAGAAAGTAGAGCTTGGACAGGCACAATATAGTAGCAAGGAATAGCAATAATTCGCAACTGAATAGCAAAGCTAAATAAGTATCCTAAGTACTTGTCTTAGTTGCTGGCATACTCACGTTCCAAGTACCAGATGTATCAAGTGATATGAACAGCAAGAATATGATTAGGAACAAGGTAGAAATCAGCACACACAAACACAACTCAAATGGCGCTCTCTATGTGCTCCTCTAGATATTGTTCCTCTTTTGCCCCTCTCTTTTTTCTATTTTTTTGGACTGTCGTTGTTTTTTTGGGAATTTTTGACTTTTTCTTTTTATTTTTTTGATAATTTTCCTTTACTTAGGAGCACAAAATAAGTAACCACAAAAAATATGAGCTTAAACAAGTGAAAGGCGTGGCCTGTGGAAATTTCAGAGAAAGTGCTCAAAATCGACAAAACCCTTGTGAACATGAAGAGGATCTTGTGACCACTTTTTGACCAATCTAAAATTTTTGAACCCTGACATGACGGGGGATGGACGGATCCAAATTTTTTTTCTGATCGATTTTGATATATGGAACGTCGAAAATGGAGTTCGTATGCGAAAACTAGACCAGTTTTACGAATCGACTCCGAATTAGAGGACAAAACGGGAACAATGCGCGCAAAATTGGTCACGGCAGCAAGGAATTGATGGAAACAGTGAAGAAAAGTGTAACAAATTAGATGGCGTGGACTAGGGTTTGATGGAAACAAAGAAAACACAGCAAGACTTGAAGGTGTTCACGGATTATGATAAAAAACAAAGGAAAAAACACAAACTGGACTCAAAACGATCTAAAATCAGCAACCAGAACTTGACCTAGGGCATAAACTCAA